CTGAGCAGGTGGCTGAAGAGCCCAATTAAACTAAAAGAATTTGGGAACACTCCTAGGTACCCATTAGAGGCCTCCCATTGGTTATATCCTATGTGAATGAAGGCTTGGCCTGTGACCAATCAGAGGCTGAAGTGAAGGCTCAATCTGCAAACAATTAGAGGCATTTCTCATTTGTATGTAAGAAAGAGGAGGTTTTGTAGAGGAAGGGGCCTATGGCCTCTTGTCATTGTCCAGTTCCAATAAGTCAGCCAGGGGTTGGCCCTAGGCTCCCTGTCTCCAGACTCTATTCTTCTGCCTCACTATTTTTTTTATTTTTTATTGCCATCCTTGTGGATATGAAGTAACAAAAACATCCCTGTTTTTGATCTGCATTTCCCTAACACTCGTTTTATGGAGCATGTTTTCATGTATTTCTTGATCATTTGTATATTTTCTTTGGAGATACATCTATTTAGGCCTTTTGCTCATTTTTAAGTTGGGTTATTTTCATTTTTGTTATTGAATTATAGGAGTTCTTTATCTATTCTAGATGGTAGACCCTTATCAGATACCTGATTTACAAATATTTTTCCCATTTGGTAGGTTTTTTTTTTTAAGTTTGGTAGTATCCTTTGATGCATACATGTTTGAAATTTTCAAAGTCTAGTTTGTCTGTTTTTTCTTTTGTTACTCAGGCTCTTGGCGTCAGTCATATCTAAGAATCCATTGCTCAATCCAAGGGCAAGAATATTTATCCTATGTTTTCTCCTAAGAGTTTTATGGTTTTACTCCATGTAACTGGGTAATTGGTTGATTTTTAGTTAATTTTTATATATGACATGAAGTATGGCTCCAGCCACATTCTTTTACATGCACATAGTCATGTATCATGCATCGTTGATTGAGAAGACGATTCTCTTCCTGTTGAGTGGTCTCTTGGTACCCTTGTCAAAACTCAGTTGGCTCATAGAGATGTATGAGTTTATTTCTTGACTCTTAGTTTTATTTCTTGGTCTATATGTCTATTCTTAAACTAGTACCACACTGTGTTAATTACTGTAGCTTTGTAGGAAGTTTTGAAATCAGTAAGTGTGATTTCAACTTTATTCTTTTTCAAGAGTATTTTAGCTGTTCTGGGTCCCCCAAGTGTAATTTCATATACACTTGAAGATTGGCTTTTCCATTATAGTTCATACTGTAGCATATGCATGTGTTATCTAATAATTTGAGAAGGGTCATTATATAAAATCTTATTTTTATAAGTAGAAAGTAAATAGAATGGACTGGATGGTGAGATCACTAGTCATTGTTTTTGTTTTTGTATTATCTGTGTTTTCTCAATAATAAATACATATATATCTCATAATAAGAAAACATTCACTCATAGGCTGGGCATGGTGGCTCACGCCTGTAATCCCAGCACTAGGAAGGCCAAGGCAGGCAGATCATGAGGTCAGGAGTTCAAGACCAGCCTGGCCAACAGAGTAAAACCCTGTCTCTACTAAAAATACAAAAAATTAGTCAGGCTTGGTGGCAGTGCCTGCAATCCCAGCTACTCATGAAGCTAAGGCAGGAGAATCTCTTGAGCTCAGGAGGCAGAGACTGCAGTGAGCCAAGACTTCGCCACTGCATTCCAGCCTGGACAACAGAGGGAGGCTCCGTCTCAAAAAACAAAACAAAAAGCATTCATTCATGTACTTAAAAAGAAAAGGGGCAACATTTACCTTCCTCTCATTATTTTTCATTCTTTTAATTTCCTCTTGCTCCAATAGGAATTTACTAATTTTCCCTGCAAAGCCACTACATTTCTAAGCATGTAAGAAATTAATTGTAGCCACTAACATGATATCATCAGAAAAGGCAGTATCTGGCCAGGATACACCAAATCCCAGCACTTTGGGAGGCTGAGGTGGGCAGATCACCTGAGGACAGAAGTTCGAGACCAGCCTGGCCAACATGACAAATCCCCATCTCTACTAAAAATACAAAAATTAACTGGGCATGGTGGTGGGTTGCCTGTAATATCAGCTACTCAGGAGGCTGAGGCAGGAGAATTGCTTGAACCTGGGAGGTGGAGGTTTCAGTGAGCTGAGAATGTGCCACCGCATTCCAGCCTAGGCAACAGAGCCAGACTCTGTCTCAGAAAGAAAGAGACAGAGAGAGCAAGAGAGAGAGAGAGACAGAGAGGAATATCTTTGATACTGTCTTTCTTATACATAAATTCATAAATTTTCTATAGTCCCAGCTACTTGGAAGGCTGAACTGGAGGATAATTGGAGCTCAGGCGGTTGAGGCTGCAGTAAGCCATGATTGCACCATTGCAGTCCAGCCTGGGTGGCAGAGCAAGACCTTGTCTTTAAATGAATGAATGAATCAGTCATGCCTACTAGATAAAGCCTACATTAAAATTCCTGGAACTATGAGGTTTGGAGAACTTCTGGGTTGCTGAACACTTGGAAGGAGAAGGCATGGAAACTCTGCTCCTTCCCCAATATCTTTCTCTAGACATCTCTTTCATTTTCCTCTTCCTGAGTTGTATCCTTTTATTAAAAATGAGTAAATATTACAGGCTCATGCCTATAATCCCAGCACTTTGGGAGGTCGAGGCAGGCAGATCATGAGGTCAAGAGATTGAGATCATCCTAGTCAATATGGTGAAACCCTGTCTCTACTAAAAGTACAAGAATTAGCTGGGTGTGATGGCGCGCCTGTAGTCCCAGCTTCTTGGGAGGCTGAGGCAGCAGAATTGCTTGAACCCGGGAGGTGGAGGTTGCAGTGAGCCAAGATCATGCCATTGCACTCCAGCCTGGGCAACAAGAGCAAAACTCCATCTCAAAAAAAAAAAAGAAAGGGTAAATGTAAGTAAAGTATTTCTCTGATTCCTTTGAGAGCCATTCAGTGGTCAAACCTGAGGAGGGGGTTGTAGGAACCCATAATCTATAGCCAATTGGTCAAAAATGTGGGAGGCCTGGATTTAGGATTAGCACCTAAGTGGGGCCAGTCTTGTGGGATTGAGTCTGTAACCTGTGGGATCTAATGCTAACTCCAGGTAGATAATGTGAGAATTAAATTACAGGACACGTAACTGGTGGCGGAGAATTGGTCAGTGTAGGAAAAACCCACAAATTTGGTAACTGGAAGTGAACTATGGAGTGCTGTGAGAGTACAGAAGAGGAGTAAACAGTTTGTTTTTTCTCTGTACACTCTGTTTTTTTTTTTTTTGGCTCTCTTTTTTGGTACACGTAGTCTCTCTTTTCTTTTTATCAGAAGCTTTGTGTTATTTCCTTCTTCATGCTTTTCTCTTCATTGTAGTTCTGTTACCTACTCTGTGAAGCCATTCTTGGTTTCACTACTTTCTAAAGAGCTGGACTTTCTGTCTCTAATATAGCTTATTATTAATTAAAATTATAGATGTAGTTCCCTTAACTGCATCTTGGCTATATCAGAATTTTCTTGTTGTTTTTAGTTGTAAGAACAGTCTCGTTTTTTGGTAATTAAGACTCAGTGTTACCCATTTTTAAAAACTTCATGTAAAATTCATTCTTCTTGTAGGGATTATGATGGGTGAGGGTGTCTGACAAAAGGCAGACATATTAAGCTGGGGGAAGTCATCTTCTTTTAGGCTGTGGCTTCCTCTCTAACACTGAGTGTTCATCATGCCGTATTGTCAGGCATTTAAATTTTGTTTGATTGCCATGTGTAGATTCTTCCTGGCTCAGTCTGTTGGCAGCTCACTGGCAACTCTGTGAACTTAAGAGTATGTAGTAATCAGCATCTTTTGGGCTTAATTTAAGCCTGAGGTAAAATTGGGACTACAGGAAATTTTCATTCAATGTCCTGTGAAATTTATTTTAAAGTCAGCATCTCACAGGAAGATAATCGGTCTTCTAGAAGAACGTATTATGTCATATAGATATTATAGAGCACCTTTTAGTGCACAGGTTTCATACCAGTAATGTTAGATCTGTATTTTGAAGTCATATAGCCTTTTAGGGACCTTTATCCTAGCATATCTGCATTCTAGAAGTGCTTCAAATGTCCTATTTAAATGTAAATTAATTTAAATATACATTAATGGAACTTAAATAAAATAAAAAATTCAGTTCCTGAGTCACAGTAGCCACATTAGAAGTACTTAATTAGCCAACTGTGGCTAGTGGCTCCTCTACTGGATAGCACAGACATTTTCATGATTGAAGAAAGTTCTTCTTTAGCGGATAGAGGTAAGAAATTTTTCTTACCATAAGAAAGTCAGATACATGGAGTCAATCATGTACACAAACTAGGTACTCTATTTCACAGTCTTTTTTGTTTCTTGCCTATGTGAGGAAAGTTTGTGAAAGGGAGAAAAGTTGCCACACACCTGTACAAGATACTGCTTTCAAATTCATCTGATATTTAGCTCTTTGAAAGTGTCAGACAACTGCTAGTGCAAACATTGGTTTGCAGCCGGGTTAAGACTTCATATATTTCCACCTGCCAGAGATAGACCGTCTTGTTCATCCTTCCTATTTCCTTTCCTACTGTTCCCTCATTCCTTCAGTCCTCGGGACTGAAGGGCTGGCACAACTTTGGTTGACAAGTAAGACTTGGGATGAATTGAAAAGCAAATGTTTGTATTATGTGTTGATGTGTGTGTAGATTTTAAGAGAAGTGGCTTAACTCCTAGAATCATAAATTTGTATTATTTTTTTCTTCTGAGCCCTTAGATCATTTAATTGAATGCCTGCCCACATTTTACATATAATTAAACTGAGGTCGGAGAAAGTGCGTGCCCAAGATCATATAGCTAATGGTAGATCTGGGACTAAAACCTTTGTTCCGTGACTCCAACGCCTATAGTTATTATCCTGAATCATTTACTTTTCCCATTTTAATTCATAACTCAGTACTATCTATTGTTACAGATACAAAGGCAACAGTTTAGAGGTATGAATAATTAATTATTGTAATGAATTTCTCATTTAAATAAATGTTGCTTTTATTTATTTTAAAGAATTTGGTAATTGCAATTTTTATAGATTGAAGAAGAAGAGAGGAAAAAAATAGAAGATATGAAAGAAAATGAACGGATAAAAGCCACTAAAGAATTGGAAGCCTGGAAAGAATATCAAAGAAAAGCTGAGGAGCAAAAAAAAATTCAGAGGGAAGAGAAATTGTGTCAAAAAGAAAAGCACATTAAAGAAGAAAGAAAAAAATTAAAATCTAAGAATCTTACTAGAAATTCAGCATCTAGAAATCTTGCTGCAAAAGGTAAAATAATTAAGATTTTCTGGAAAACTGAATCCTGTTGGTAAAGTATATATGACACTTTTTTTTTTTTTGTAAATCTTTTCACAGCCTTAGGTTACTATTTTGGCATATTGAGAATAAGCAATCCAATACAAAGACTAAAGTAAAAGACATTTCTTCTTTTGGGAGTAATGAAGTTTTTCTAGTAAAATGAGCAAGCAATCATTCAAGGATTCAAAAACAAGAGTATCTTCTTTGCTTGAGTGCTTTCTTTTGAAATTTATAGAGATGTTGTTAAATAAGTGCTTAACTCAGGCCCAAAAAGACTTAGAATCAACTAGCAGTGTCAGAAGCATTCCTTTATTCTGTTAGAGATAAGAAACTAGGAATTTCATTAAAAGACCTTTTCTTCACATCACTTAGGAAAATGAATACTATAAGCAAACTTGCTCTACAGCAAATAAGGGTTGCTTCTAGTTTTTAATCTTAATGTGTTCAAAAATAGATAAATTAATATAATAATAATTATTATTATTATTGATACAAGGTCTGGCGCTGTTGCCCAGGCTGGAGTGCTGCAATGGTGCAATCTCAGCTCACTGCAACCTCTGCCTCCCCAGCTGAAGCCATCCTCCCTCAACCTCCCAAGTAGCTGGGACTACAGGCATGCACCTCAGTGTCCAGCTAATTTTTTTTTTTTGTATTTTCTTGTAGAGATGAGGTTTTGCTATGTTGCCCAGGCTGGTCTTGAACTCAGGAACTCAAGCAATCTGCCTGCTTCAGCCTCCCAAAGGGCTGGGATTGTAGGCATGAACCACATGTCCAGCTGATACAAATATAATTCTGTTTTTTTTGTGTGTGTGTATGTTTTCAAAATTATTATTTCAGTAGTTTGGGGGAAACAGGTGGTGTTTGATTACAGGTATAAATTCTTTAGTGGTCATTTCTGAGATTCTGGTGGACCCATCACCCAAGCAGTGTACACTGCACCAAATGCATAGTCTTTTACTCCTCACCCCACACCCTTCCCCTTGAGTCCCTGGGTCCATTATATCATTCTTATGCCTTTGCGTCCTTATAGCTTAGCTCTCATTTATAAGTGAGAACATATGGTATTTGGTTTTCCATTCCTGAGTTACTTCATATAGAATAATCATCTCTAATTCCATCCAGGTTGCTGAGAATGCCATTATTTTGTTCCTTTTTATGGCTGAGTAGTATTCCATGGCATATATATATATATATATATATATATATATATATATATATATAAATAGTATTCCATATATACACACACACACCACATTTTCTTTATTTACTTATTAGTTGATGAGCATTTAGGCTAGTTCCATATTTTTGCAATTGCAATTGTGCTGCTAAAAACATGAGTGTGCAAGTGTCTAATGACTTCTTTTCCTGAGTAGATACTCAGTAGTGGGATTGCTGAATCAAATGGTAGTTCTACTTTTAGTTCTTTAAGGAACCTCCACACTGTTTTCCATAGTGGTTGTACTAGTTTACATTCCCACCAGCAGTGTACAAGTGTCCCTTTTTACCACATGTACACCAATATCTGTTATTTTTTTATTTTTAAATTATGTTCTTAATAGGACTAAGGTGATTTCACATTGTGGTTTTGATTTGCATTTCCCTAATAATGAGTGATGTTGAGTATTTTTTCATATGTTTGTTGGACATTTATTTGTTTATTTTTTCTGAGACAGAGTTTTGCTCTTGTTGCTCAGGCTGGAGTGTAATGGTGCAATCTCAGCTTACTGCAACCTCTGCCTCTCAGGTTCAAGCTATTCTCCTGCCTCAGCCTCCCGAGTAGCTGGGATTACAGGCATGTGCCACCACACCTGGCTAATTTTGTATTTTTAGTAGAGAGAGGGTTTCTCCATTATTGGTCAGGCTAGTCTCAAACTCCAGACCTCAGGCGATCTGCCTGCCTCGGCCTCCCAAAGTGCTGGGATTACAGGTGTGAGCCACTGTGCCTGGCTGGACATGTGTTTATCTTCTTTTGCAAATTGTCTATTAATGTCCTTAGCTTACTTTTTGATGGGATTGTTTGTTTTATTCTTGCTGATTTGTTTGAGTTCCCTGTAGATTCTGGATATTAGTCCTTTATCAGATGCATAGTTTGTGAAGATTTTCTCCCACTCTGTGGGTTGTCTGTTTGCTGATTATTTCTTTTGCTATGAGAAGGTTTTTAGTTTAATTAGTTACCATCTATTTATCTTTGTTTTTGTTGCATCATGAAGTCTTTGCTTAAGCCAGTGTTAGAAGGGTTTTTCCAGTGTTATCATCTAGAATTTTTATGGTTTCAGGTCTTAGGTTTAAGTCTTTGATCCATCTTGAGTTGATTTTTGTGTTAGGGGAGAGAAGAGGATCCAGTTTCATTCCCCTACATGTGGTTTGCCAATTATCCCAGCACCATTTGTTGAATAGGTCATCCTTTCCCCACTTTGTGTTTTTGTTTGCTTTGTCAAAGATTGGTTGGGTATAAGTATCCGGCTTTACTTCTGGGTTTTCTATTCTGGTCCATTGGTCTATGTGCTATTTTTATGCTAATACCATGCTGTTTTGGTAACCACAGCCTTGTACTATAGTTTGAAGTCAGGTAATGTGATCCCTTTAGATTTGTTATTTTTGCTTAATCTTCCTTTGGCTCTGTGGGCTCTTTTTTTGTTCCATATGAATTTTAGGATTGTTTTTCTAGTTCTGTGAAGAATGATGATAATATTTTAATGGGAATTGCATTGAATTTGTAGATTGCTTTTGGCAGTATGGTCATTTTCACAATATTGATTCTACCCATCTATGAACACGGGATGTGTTTCCATTTGTTTGTGTCCTCTGTGATTTCTTTCAGCAGTGTTTTGTAGTTTTCCTAGTGAGCTCTTTCACCTCTTTAGTTAGGTATATTCCTAAGTATTTTGTTTTTTTGAAGCTGTTGTATAAGGGGTTGAGTTCTTGATTTGATTCTCAGCTTGGTCGTTGTTGTCTAGTAGTGCTACTGATTTGTGTACATTGATTTGGTATTCTGAAACTTTACTGAATTCATTTATCAGTTCGAGGAGCTTTTTGGATGAGTCTTTAGGGTTTTTTAGGTATATGATCATATCATTGGTGAGCAGTGACAGCTTGACTTCTTCTTTACTGATTTAGAGGCTATTTCTTTCTCTTGTCTGATCGCTCTGGCTAGGACCATAGAGTTGGTGAAAGTGGTCATCCTTGTCTTGTTCCAGTTCTCAGGGGAAACACTTTTAGCTTTTCACTGTTCAATATAATGTTGGCTGTGGGTTTGTCATAAATGGCTTTTATTACGTTAAGGTATGTCCCTTCTATGCCCATTTGCTGAGGGTTTTAATCATAAAGAGATGCTGGATTTTGTCGTCAAATGCTTTTTTTTTGTTTTTTTGAGACAGAGTCTTACTCTATTGCTTAGGCTGAAGTGCAGTGGCATGATCTCGGCTCACTGCAACCTCCGCCTCCCAAATTCAAGCTATTCTCCGGCCTCAGCCTCTCTGGTAGCTGGAATTACAGGTGTGCATCACTACACCTTGCTAAGTTTTTGTGTTTTTTAGTAGAGACTGGGTTTTGCCATATTAGCCGGCTGGTCTCAGACTCCTGACCTTAAATGATCTGCCTGCCTCAGCCTCCCAAATGCTGGGATTACAGGCATGAGCCACCACACTTGGCCTCAAATGCTTTTTCTGCATTTATTGAGATGATCATATGATTTTTGTTTTTACATCTGTTTATGGGGTGTATTATATTTATTGACTTGGGTATGTTAAACCAGCCCTGAATCCCTGATATGAAACCCACTTAATCGTGACGTATTACCTTTTTGATATGCTGTTGCATTTGGTTAGCTAGTAATTGGTTGAGGATTGTTGCATCTATGTTCAGCAGGGATATTGGTCTGAAGTTTTCTCTTTTTGGTTATGTCCTTTCCTGGTTTTGGTATTAGGGTAGTACTGTCTTTTTTTTTTTTTTTTTTGAGATGGAGTTTTGCTCTTGTGACCCAGGCTAGAGTGCAGTGGTGCAATCTCGGCTCACTGCAACCTCCGCCTTTCAGGTTCAAGCAGTTCTCCTGCTTCTTGAGTAGTTGGGATTACAGGTGCCTGCCACCATGCGCAGCTAAGTTTTTGTATTTTTAGTAGAGACGGGGTTTCACCGTGTTTGGCAGACTAGTCTTGAACTCCTGACCTCAGGCGATCTGCCTGCCCCTGCCTCCCAAATTGATGGGATTCCAGGCGTGAGCCACTGTGCCTGGTCTTAGTACTGGCTTTATAAAATGATTTAGGGAGGATTTCCCCCTTACGTTTTGGAATATTTTTAGTAAGATTGGTACCAGTTCTCTTTGAATGTCCATTAGAATTTGGCTGTTGGGCCAGGCACATGGCTCACACCTGTAATCTCAGCACTTTGGGAGGCCAAGGCAGGAGGATCACAGGTGTTCAAGACCAACCTGGCCAACATGGTGAAATGACGTCTAATTAAAAATACAAAAATTAGCAAGGTGTGGTGGTGCGCACCTGTAATCCCATCTACTCAGGAAACTGAGGCAGGAGAATTGGTTGAACCCAGAGGCGGAAGTTTCATTGAGCCGAGATCTTGCCACTGCATTCCAGCCTGGGGACAGCAGAGCAAGACCCTGTCTAAAAAGAAAAATAAAATTCATTTGTGAAGCCGTCTGGTCTGGACATTTTTTAATTGGCAATTTTTAAATTACTTATTCAATCTCGTTACTTGTTATTCGTCTATTTGGAATTTCTGTTTCTTCCTGGCTTCATCTGGAATGGTTATTATTTCCCTCCTCTAGGTTTAGGAATTTATCTGTCTCCTCTAGATTTTCTAGTTTGTGTGCATAAAGGCATTCATAGTAGCTTTGAATGATCTTTTGTATCTCTGTGGTATTGGTTATAATATTTCTCATTTCATTTCTAATTGAGATTATTTGGATCTTATTCTTTTCTTGGTTAATCTCACTGTGGTCTATCAATTTTGTGTAT